CCATATGAGTGAGTGAGGCATCCTGCCTCAGTGATGGGGGTAGGACTGGGCACATGACCGAGTCTCAGATTCTCAGGACCTCTGCTGAGAACTCTGGGGACAATACTCTTTCTGCTAGATTTTAACCTGGAATGATATAGTTGCAGGAGGCACTGCAGCTGTCTTGTGCAGAAGCTGTCTGTGACTGGAACCAGCGCTGAGGAGGCCGAGCAAGGGGCCAGTCCGGGTAAAAGGGTTTGAGTCCAGAATTCCCTTTCTGCTTAGACAAGTTTGTCTCAGATCTTCTAGCACTTAGGACAGAACCCCAAAAACTGACATTGTTTTTATTTTGTTTGTTTTGGCTCCTCAAATATCAATTACCTTTACCCTTAGTATTCAATACTCCCAAGTCAAATATCTCAACCCATTCACCAACCAAAAGAAGGTGAAAATAACTTGGGAATTAAAATACCTACCTAAACAGAACACACATCTTCCCTATGATGAATTAATGAATTTATGAATTTAATGTAATTCCAATCAAACCCCTATAGAATGGCCAATTACAAAATTGGTTCCTTTACAAAATTCAGCAGTAAAAATTTAGAAAATACAGTGCGAAAAAAGTTTATTCATAAGTAACACAAAGTGTAGTTCTGAGACATAACAGGGTGTTAATGAAGAAAACCATGTAACTTTGCAGGGGTGGGAGGAAGTGGGAAGATGAACCAAAGGAGAAGCATAACATGTTTCTGGCTCGAAAACTCAGTCCTGCAAAGCTATCAGGCATCCCAGACTGATCTACAATACATGAAACTCTCATACAAACCAATAAAAAACAAGTGAAAACCTCAACAAAACGAGAAAACGGCCAAAGAAAATGAGGAAGCCATTAACACAAGAAGAAAAACCACTAGGTAATAAAGATACAAAAAATAAAAAAGTGTCCAACCCATCAGCATTGCTGAGGAGCCAGGAGAGTCACCAGTGTGCCCAGCAGGGGCCACAGTGCTGTGGATTCTAGAGGGTCTTGTGATGATGATCTGCATAAAAACCTGAAAAATAAGCATTTTTCACTCAAAAACTTCACTTCCAGAAACTTGCTCTAAAAAAGTAATCAAATGAGGCCCCAAGACTGTTCATTATGGAAGGATGGATGGAAGGAAGGAAGGAAAGGAAGGGAGGGAAGGAGGGAGGGAAAATGTTGAACAAGTGTTTATTAAATGAATAGGGATTAAATCAGGCATTTGTTATACTTCTGTGAACTGAATTCATTCTTTAAGAATCTCATTATTTAAAAATCGTTGTTGTCATCTTCCGAACATAGAAATATCTTCATTAGTTGAAACCCCTTCTGTAATAGTCCTATTTAAATGCCTAACTGGCCTAAAATTAGATATTTTATATATTTGATAGATATATTGTTATTTGTGTATATTTGATAGATATAGATCTAAAGAATACACACAAAACATTAACAATAATAATTGCTGGGGAGTAGGATTTTAATTTTTAATTTCCACTTTTCATATTTCCTCAATATTTTCTCAATATTGACTCAATATTTTCATATTTTCTCATGTTGCTAAAATTAATAGTTAAATAAATTTTGTGGGAAGCCATTGATTCGGACTAGGCATTTGCATTAAGCCCAACAGACCAAACTAACATGGAGTTTAAATACAGTAGTAGCTGAGCTTTAGCTAATTGCAAGAGGCTCTATAACCAATTAACCAATTAAGTGTAACCAATTAAGTTGTTTCCACACTGTATTTCCATCTCCTATAAATGCCGTCAGATCACGTTATTGGTGGGAGTTCTGTGAACCTGCTCTGGCTCAGACACCTGCTCAACTGGCAAATCGTTTCTCTTCTGTTTGGCTTTGCTCGGTTTTGTTTTGTTTCTCTTTGTTCAAATAAACTCTGTTGAAATTTAAACTTGTCTGCTTAACAAGATATATCCTTTTAATTACAAAGAAAATAGACAATATAAATATAAATGTTATTTTTTTAAGAAAAAGGAAAAAAAAAGCAATGACTGACATGAGTTCAGGCGCAAATGCAGCAAAGTACAGGAAGTCATCGCTGCCTTTCCTCTGACTCATGCATGTGACAGAACAGTACACTGCCAATTCCTCCATACAGCACTTAGTGGAGGCAGCAACAAACTAGCCCTGAGACTGCTATCTTCTGGCATTCCTTTAATTCTCCATTCAATCAGTTATTTGCTGATTGCTTACCATGGGCCGGGCGCAGTGCTGGGGAACCTACTTAAAAACATTTGTTTTTCTGTAAAATTAGACTCGAAATGCATTTGGTGAGTTAGGGTGGTTTCCGCTTTTTTGTTTTTTCATAAATGAATTTTTCACTACTACTGCCTTTAATCCCTGCATATCTTGCATGTGATTTCTCATAGTGCTCCTTCCCCACCCTCACCCACAACCCCCCGAGTTTGACCCATAGTGCCTTAAAGGGTGCCTGGAAGCATCATCATGGCGTCCTATTCAAGGATGCAGCTCAAAATCCAGCAGTGCCAGGAATATCTGTAGATCACCCTGAGGCACACGACCCCCGAGAAGATGACAAGATGACAGGTTGTTCTTTATCAGCCATCTGCGAGAGAGTGTGTGGTGCCTCCAAGCTCCATGAGAAGAAAGACAACCCTAATGATCAGACCCTTCCCCCTCCCTCTTGCCTAACGCCTTGGCAGCTCCATCTTGTGGTTTCTTGCTTCTTCAAGGACTCATCATCTCTAAAGAAAAGTCCATTACAGAAAATCAATGAAGCAGTGAATCGAAGGACATGTAACACGTAATCAATCCTGCTCATGAATCATTGAGTAACTCGTCCATTACAGCTTTTCATATTTTAGGCAAGCTAGTGATTTCTAAAAGTAATACAAGACCCTGCAGATGAATATGGAAGTTAGGAGAACTACATCTCATCCTTTTCTTATCCAGTTGAGATTAAACAGTCTTAGTGATGAAATTCCTATTTTGTATTAAAAGAAAGTTTCCCTCCCACCTTCTCTCTAGGTCTACATCAATACATACATGTTAGGTCTGGTAAGACCATTAATGAGTAGATCTGCAGCTATATGATTATAGGAATAAGTACTGCTAAGATAAATGTAGTTAAATCCAATTATTACTTACCCAGTACTCTTTATGTGCTAGACACCATGAGCTTCCTAAAAGTAAAATGAAACGGCCTCTGCCCTCCACAAGCTCCCAGTCGAATGGGAGGCACAGACATCTACATAAATAATTTTATCACAAGATCAATCTGATACCTCTAACAGTGGCAGAATAAGCAATACACGATAGTGGCTTCAATCACAGGCTCTGGAGGCAGACTGCCAGGATTGGAATTCCGGTTCTACCCATCACTAGCTATGTGACCTTGACATGCTACTTAACCTTCTCTGCTTCAGTTTCTTCACCTGTAAAATGGGGGTAATAATGGTATCCTACCTTACAGAGTTATTGTGAGGATTAAACATGGCACAAATAGAAGTGTTGTTAACACTAGCATTATTATTACCAGCTTAGGAGGTAAGCACGGACTGATAACAACATGAATCTGGGAAAGTAGTCTAGAGAAATGGAATCTGTGGCCGAGTTCTGAATAATGGTAAGAATTTCACATGCAGTGATGGGAGAGAGGGGCATTTCACAAATGGGGATTAACCTGAGTGATGGCCTGGAGGTGACCAAGAGGAGAGTGCTGGTACTCGTAGGCTGGCAGTGTGGCTACAGTACCAGTCATCCAAGCTGCAGGCATGGGGCACAGAAGAAGTAACATGAGAAAGAGCAGGCTGGGGTTGACTGGAGGACATGCTGAATGCCAGGCTAAAGAGCCTGAACATTATTCTGTACACAATGACAGCTCGAGAAACAGGGTGTGATGAGGGCACTTCAAAGAGTTCATGGAAAAATAGAATTGAAAGATAATACAAATCTTTCCATGAACTTTCTGAAGTAGCCATATATAGTTTGAATGTTTGTCCCCTCCAAAGCTCATGTTGAAATCCGATCCCCAATGTGGCAGTGTTGGGAGGTGTTTGGGTCATGGGGGCAGATCCCTCAAAATAGATTAATGCCCTCCCTTGGGGGTGAGTTCTCACTCTGTTAGTTCCCAGGAGAGCTGCTTGTTAAAAAGAGCCTGGCACCTCCCCTCCCCCTCTCTTACTCTCTCTCTCTCCATGTGATCTCCTTGCACATACTGGCTGCCCTTCTGTGTTCTGCCATGAGTAGAAGCAGCCTAAGGCCCATGCCAAATGCAGCTGCCCTAGAATCATGAGCCAAATAAACATCCTTTGTTCCTAAATTACCCAGTCTCAGGTATTCTGTTACAGCAACACAAAAATGGACTAAGACACAAGGTATCACAAGAGTTAAGAACACGGATTCTGAGTTTGAATCCTGACTCTACCTCTTAAGAGCTGTGTCACCTTGTCCAGACACCTATCTCTCTTTGCCTCTGTTGTCTCACCTGTTGTGCTGAGGATTAAATGAGTGTTCATATGCAGTCTTGAAACAGTGCTTGGCACATAGTGACATAGATAAGTATTTGCTATTAAAAGGCAGAACAAAGGCCTACACCAGCTCTTCCTGCCATCCTGAGATAGCCGATCAGAAAATTATCAGCAGCTGATATTGGTAATGATACAGTCAAGGATACGAAACTGCTTTTCTACTCTTCAGAAAATGCTACATGAAAATAAATGCTCCATTTTTCACAAAAGCTTCCATGGTCCATGAAGAAATTTTACCTCAAAGAAACAGACACAGTGAAAGCTGGCACTAAACTTTACCCACACTACTAGGCAACATGAAGAGTCTGTCCAAAACTTTATCAGATCACTATGCAAAGAGGAAAAACACACCATTTATGAGAAGATGGGATCCGGGCTCACTTTTGAATGACAGTAAAGGTTTGGATATGTGGTGGTGGGAGGGAAGGGAATGAGCTGAACGTATAGTCATGACTGCTCAGACGACCTCTAAGGCAAGAACTTACTTCCAGATCCATCCTTGACTCTAGGTCCTTCAGGCTTGGCCTCAGAAATAATGTTTGCATTGGCGTTGTTCTCCATCTCGATCACAAAGTCACCGTCCTCTTCAAACTCAGGGTGGCTAAAGATCCAATCCAGTGCTCTTTCCAGGTTATTATTCTAATAAAGTAAAACATTTTTACAATGTACGCATTCCTGCTCCTCCTTATATCCTGACCATTTGAACCACATATCAAGGAGATAGGGCAGGAGGCCTGCATTCATTAGTCTTAAGTGCCTCTGAGTCAGAAGCTCTAACTCCACATATAAAAGGCACACGTGGTTGGCATTCTGCAAGTCCCCTGAGGTCTGTAATTGGGTTCACTGGAGAACAGTTCCAAGCAGCAGATCAGCACTCCAAAGCCCATATCAGTCTTAGCTCAGCATTTCTGTAGGCTGATGCTGATAATGATGGCTGCAGAATGCCAAAGGCGATGGCATTTGGTCAAGTGCAGCCTTTTGTAAAGCCACACTAATTGCACACACTACCTTCTCTACCAACTGTATTTTCTGCAGATCACTCTGCAAAATAGAGGGTGCCAGTGGGAGTATATGTTAGACCTCCTCTCCCTAAATTTTGGTAGAATGGTTGAATTGCAGTAAACAAGATTAATGCCTCAATTAATGATAACAACACTGGTTAATTAAGTACAATGGTTTTAAAGTGAACTCCATGCAGTTCAAACTAATGGACCATAAAAAGTTTTTCATCTTTCCCTGTTTGTGATATCACTGGCAGGTTAAAGAATTTGTCACTTGGGTTAAGCAGGGAACAAGAAAGTACCCCAAGTGAAACAAACTCTGAGATATTTTGAGCATTTTAGGAAACAGATTGTTCCAGCCACACTCCCATGAGCCACTCAAGAGCCACTGACCTCGGCAATGGACACTAGCAGGGACTCAGCCAGTGCAGACAAGAAGGAATCAGTAGCAGATATCCACTCAAAACTGGATTGTGGTGTGACAAGAAAGGATATTAAAATATATATATATATTAAGTAGATATCTGCATGACAAGAGAAGATTTCTATCTCCCTTCTAGTTCCATGGTCCCTTCTCTCCCTTTTCTCAGGAAGTTCGTGACTACCAGAAGAACCTTCTCTTTCTGCCAAGAGCAACAGCAACAGAGAATTCCAGAGAACCATTCAGTCTTCCATAAGGACTTTTGAGAGACACTTCTCGAAGGTCCTGGTATCAGAAAAGCACTATTTGTTCCAAAGAACTTTCTTACTGACCATGGAATCTCATGCATTCCTCTTTGCTCAAAGGCCAAGTCAAATCTGTGACCCCCTATTAACAAACAGTCAAGAAGATGCAGAGTTTCCTTCAGTTTGGTCATCTGGCCTCAGCTTTATCATTTTCTTATTCTTAAATTCCTTATATGATTCCCTCAATCACTTATTTTAGATTTATATATATTATATGCAAATAAATCTGTATGGGTTAAGGTGGCATACGGAGTCAGGAAACATAACTCAAAATGATCAAAGGACATTGGAAAGTCTCAGCTGCTACTGACAGAAGCACAAACCGCCTCCAGTGAGAGGAGGGTGTTCACGCACACAGTCTCTCATGCTCACCGTTGCTCGTAGTGCCTGAACAGCCTGATGTCGTTGGAATCCCATAGAGGTGATAATAGCTACAATTTCTTCTGGAGGTTGGTTATCCAATCCAGTACCAAAAATAGATGCTCCAGCAGAAGCTGCTCCTCCATAACCAGGCATCGTCAGTGGTTCAGCAAAATCTGAGGAAAATGACCACACACGAGCATTTTTCTCTTTTTGGTCTTGAAATAAACACTGTAAGGTTAAGAAGTAAAAATACCTACAAAGTTACAATAATCAAGACAGTCTAGTATGGGCATATGGATAGACATATAGATCAGTTAAACAGAATTGAGAGTCCAGAGATAAACCTGTATGAGGATACTTTAAGAAGTTCATGGAGAGATTCATATTATCTTTTAATTCAATTTTTCCACAAACTTTCTGAAGTGCTCTTGTATATCTATAGTCAACTGATTTTCTTTTTTTTTTTTTTTTTTTTTTTTTTTTTTTGTTTTTTTTGGGTTTTTTTTTTTTTTTTTCCTTTTTGTTTTTTTTTTTTTGTTTTTTTTGGGTTTTTTTTTTTTTTTTTCCTTTTTGTTTTTTTTTTTTTGTTTTTTTTGGGTTTTTTTTTTTTTTTTTGTCTTTTTTGTGACCGGTAAGGGGATCGCAACCCTTGGCTTGGTGTCGCCCGCACCACGCTCAGCCAGTGAGCGCACCAGCCATCCCTATATAGGATCCGAACCTGCGGCAGGAGCGCCCCTGCGCTCCCAAGCACCGCACTCTCCTGAGTGAGCCACGGGACCGGCCCAGTCAACTGATTTTCTACAAGACCATTCAGTGGGGAAGGACAGTCTTTGCAACAAATAGTGCTGAGACAAATAAATATTCACCTACAAAAGAACAAAGTAGGACCCCTACCTCACACCATATACAAAATTAACTCAAAATGGATCACTGACCCAAAGGTAAGAGCTAAAACTACAGAACTCTTAGAAGAAAACATAGGCATAAACCTTTGTGACACTAAGTTAGTCAATAGTTTCTTAGATACTACATAAAAAGTACAAGTGATAAATAAAAAAATAGATAAACCAGACTTCATCAAAATTAAAAACTTTTGTGCTTCAAAGGACATCATTGAAGAAAGTGAAAAGACAGCAGAATGGGAAAAAATATTTGCAAATCATGTATCTGATAAGAGACTTGTATCCAGAATATAAGAATTCTTAAAACTCAACAATAAACAAATAATCTCATTAAAAATGGGCAAAGGGAGCTAAGAAAGAGAAAGGAAGGAAGGCAGGAAGGCAGGCGGGAAGGAAGGAAGGAAGGAAGGAAGGAAGGAAGGAAGGAAGGAAGGAAGGAAGGAAGGAAGGAAGGGAAGGAAGAAGCCAAAACAATATGTTGAACATTCAGGAGGAGAGAACAAACCTAAAGATACTAGAGATGGGCGAAAAGCAAATTTTGTCCCTCACACTTTCTGATTTCCAAACATATTACAAAGTTCCAGTAATCCAGATAGTATGAAACTTGCATAAAGACAGACATTTAGACCAGTGGAATAGAACAGGAATCCCAGAAATAAAATCTCACACAAGAGGGTACTTCAAAATATTTGTGAAAAATAGAATAAAAGATAACTTTTTTTTTTTTTTCCTTTTTGTCTTTTTTCGTGTCCGGCAACAGATCGCAACCCTCAGTGTTGCGCCCGTACCGGACCGGGACCGGCAACGGGATTGCAACCCTCAGTGTTGCGCCCGCACCTCGCTCAGCCAGTGAGCGGGAACCGGTCTGTATGTGGGATCCGAACCCTCGAAGGAAGGAAGGAAGGAAGGAAGGAAGGAAGGAAAGAGAGAGATAGTAGTTACAATATTACACTGAACTTTCAGAAGGAGAGGTCAGAACTGTGATTACCAGAGGTGGAAGGGGGATTAGTGAGAAATTGGTTAATGGACACTAAGAATGATTATGTTTTATAATGACTAATATGCTAATTATCCTGATTTGATTATCACACATTGTACATGGATTGATATTCAACTCTGTACCCCACAAATATATATAATCAATTATGTTTCAATTAAAAAAACGGGCAAAGAATTTGAATAGACATTTCTCCAAAGAAGATACACAAATGGCCAATAAACATATGAAAACATACTCAACATCATTAGTCATTCACAAAATGCAAATCAAAACCATAAGAGATACCACTTCACACACACTGGAATGGCTATAATAAAAAAGACAATAACAAGGGTTAGTGAAGATATAGAGAAAACGGAACCCTCATTCACACTGGTGGGAGTGTAAAATGGTTCAGCCACTAAGTAAAGCAGTTTTGTAGTTCCTTAAAAAGTTAAACATGAACTACCATATGGCAAGAGAAATAAAAATACATGTCCATACAAAAACTTGTATACAAATGTTTATAATAGCATTAAACATAAAAGCCAAAAACTGGAAAGAACTCAAATGTCCATCAACTGGTGAAACATTAAATAAAATGTAACATATCCCTATAATGGAATATTACTCAGCCAAAAAAAGGAATGAACTACTGATATATGCTATAACATAAATGAACCTTGAAAATATTATGCTAAGTGATAGAAATCAGACACAAAAAGTCTCATATTGTATGTTTCCATTTATATGAAATGTCCAAAATAAGCAAATCCATAGATCCAGAAAGTAAATTAGTGGTTGCTAGGAGCTGGAGAGAGCGGGGTAACAGGGAGTGACTGCTAATGTGTACAGGATTTAAGGGACAAAAATGTTCTAAAATTAGATAGTGGTAATGATTGCATAACTCTTTGAATTTACTAAAAACCATTGAGATATACACTTTAAATGGGTGAATAGATGAATTATACCTTAATAAAGTAGATATAAGAAAAAGCTAATGAAACAGCCTCCATTTCTTCATGCCCATTTTTCTATTCCAACTCCTCCTCATCTCTTTGCTAAGAGTATATCCCACATCTTTCTAATGGTCTTTTTACCACTGAATTATAGACTTTAGAGGGGTGAATTATATATCAATAAACCTGTTATTTTTTTAAAAAGGAGAAAGACAAAGATGCTGACTTTGTCCCATAATGCAGCAGATTATGAGCTGAAAGTAATCTTCTGCAGACACATCCACAGGGACATGGAAGGACAAAGCTTAGCCTCTCTGAGGTCACATCAGACTCCAAAGCCACTCCATTTCCACCACCTACCCGGCTCTTCCATGTGAACAATGATCCAGTTGAAGGCCACCTCGGCTCCCATATTTCCAGTGAAGTACACAGCCTTCCGGCACGCTTCCAGAGGGAAGCCCATCTCGGCCAGCTGCATCACTGACGACTCATCGATGTCTGACGCTGCAAAGCACAACAGGATATTCTGGTGTGAAAAAGTAAACTCTACCTTTCTTCTTGCCTTAGCTGCTCTTCACCCTCTTATAAGCATGCTACCCAAAGAAAGTGCTATTTTCTTGGATCTGTAGATAATGGTTTTACTTTCTTTTGTTTTGTCTTAGGCCATCTAAATATTAAACTATTTAAGCTGAGTTTATATCTTTGACCTCAGGAACCAGGGTAATCACCTGGACAATCCAAGCACTGAAAAACAATTCTCTAATTTCATATGGGGAGATTTAGCATATTTCCAGAACCATTTCAGCCTCTCAGATCATTCTCAAGACCTCTACAGCAACCTCCCCTATAACTAAAATTTGAAGAGAAAAGCATTATCTATAGTCCAAAAAGCCTGTTCTTTAAATCTCACAGAAAGTTACCGCAGGCCTTTAGATACATCCAGCAATCGCAGGAAGTAACTACCCCCGGGAAAAGGAGAGCCCAGATGTTAAGTATAGAAGGAAAGAATGTCTTTTTTAATTGTGTATATTTAAGATATTAAAAGAGCTTTACAAACCTTACTTGGGCTCAGACACAGAGGGTTTTGACTTCTTTTCTTAATAACATATAGACATTGGTAGAGATGCATCTGTATATCTGTGTGTGTATATATGTAGGCACATGTGCTTATATGTATGTATACACACATATATATACACATTCTTCTATGTATACACATACATGTGTGTACATACACATACACATGCACAGTGCTCTCACTTTATACCAAAAAGGAAGAAAAAAACAGAAACACAAAACATATCCTTTGTGTTTTCCATGTCCTGGGGTCTCTACTCTACTGAAAATTCTGCCAATTTTTTAGCCATCAGTAGAGGACCTGAGGAACACAGATATCTGTTCTATAAAAAATATATTGAAGATGCATTTACCAAAGTTCTCTCTTACAAGAAAGATGCACAGAACATCCTATCAAGGTCAAATTTTTTTTAAAATGACGTAGGACAACAGTGACTCCCAAGTTGTGCTGTACAGCATCCTGATGTTCTAAGAGAGATGTCAGTGTTGAACCACAGAACAGGGGGTTTCCATGGCCAGATAAGTTTTTTAAACCTACATATTCTAGTCTCTCCTTAGAAATTCACAATGCATTCGCACAGTGAAGACTCAAAAGTCTTGTAATAAAGAAATTATGAAATTACAGCATAGAAATTATGAAACTCTTTCTTAATTGACCACCTTTCAACATCTTATAAGACTCAAGGCTCCAGAATGCAGTTTAACAAGTGCAGTTTAAAAAGAATTAGGTACATGTATGTAATACTAGATTGGAAGTGTATAAGCACATTTTTGTGAAAAATGAAGGGAGCCAGGTGTAGGTAAAGAACAGTAGAGGGATATCACCCAAATGTTAATAGTAGTTATAGATGGGTGAAGGAACCATGGATGATTTTTAATCCATAGTTTCTAAATGTCTTTTTTTTTTTTTTTTTTTTTTTTTTTTTAAGAATTAGGTACATGTATGTAATACTAGATTGGAAGTGTATAAGCACATTTTTGTGAAAAATGAAGGGAGCCAGGTGTAGGTAAAGAACAGTAGAGGGATATCACCCAAATGTTAATAGTAGTTATAGATGGGTGAAGGAACCATGGATGATTTTTAATCCATAGTTTCTAAATGTCTTTTTTTTTTTTTTTTTTTTGTCTTTTTCGTGACCGGTAAGGGGATCACAACCCTTGGTGTGGTGTCGCCCACACCACGCTCAGCCAGCGAGGTCACCAGCCAGTCCTATATAGGATCCGACCCCGCGGCCGGAGCATCGCTGCGCTCCCAACGCCGCACTCTCCCGAGTGCGGCACGGGCTTGGCCCCTAAATGTCTTTTTACTTTTGTAATAAGAAAATAGTTATTTTTAAAAAACATCTTAGGTAGGATGCAAATGTCAATTAACACCAGATCATTCTATTTTCTCCTGTTGAGTATAGGTAATTGTTGGTAAGACACCACGCTTAGATCCAGGAGGAAGTAAACGGCCACACCAGTAACACAGGAAACGGCTGCACATTCACACTCAGAGACAAGACTCCTCTGGCACAGTCAGTTCCAACCATCCATCACCTCCTCTGGGATGAGATCCTGCAGGCCAGCTCTCTGCAGGATCAGGGGCAAACAGCAAACCTCTCACATGCCAGGAAAGGTCTAGTGGCATGAAAAACACTCTTATTCCTGGCCCCAGTTCTGGTCCCAGCTCTTGGGTTTTAGAACCTTCCTGGATCTCAGTTTTTTCATCTGTAAAAAGTCACCTGCCCTGCCCTTCTTACTGTGATAATCAAATTAGATCTCGGACCTTGTATAAAGAGTAAAGTTACAGATTGTTGAAAGAATTTACGGAATAATAAATACAATGTGACCCATGGTAAGTATTCAAAAATATCAGCATCCACTATTACGATTAGATTGCTCACAGTGGCGATGGTTTGTCCCAGACTCCCCTTAACCCTACCAGGCCAAATGTAAAGGTCACAGCAGACTTCCCAGCAGCAAGGACCCTCACTGACACTAACAGCTCTTCTAACAATCGGCAAATCATAACTCCACGAAAGGAAACATGGAGGTCTAAGCTACACGATCAATCATTTGCAATGTGGAACATTTGAACTCCCAAATTAACAATACTTAGTATCTTGAGAGACTTTGTAGACAAAATATTCAGAGTATTTAATAGACACTACTTCTTCCTCCTAATTAACATCTAAATATTCAGCATAAATAGTTTATATTTTTAACATTCTTTTCAGAAAACCAAGAATATCAACTCCCACAGGATTAAGAAACTAAAAGGCTACAAAATTAACAAACAATCCAATCAAACTAATATCCTTCAGAGTGTTAATTAATACTACCACGTCCTGTCAGTTGTGGGTCTTCATTATGTGTCTGACAGCAGGAGTGGAAAAGATGCCATCAGTGCAGAAAGAGGCCTACTCACATGGCCAAAGAGGAAAGACAGGGCATCATTGTCCCCCAGTCAGATGAGGAAACTGAGGCTCAGAGAAGGTAAGCAAATTATTCTAGGTCACACAGTCATAAATGACAGAGCCAAGATTCCAACCCAGGGCTGGCTGGCTGTCATGCTAAGGGCCACTTTCCTGAGCCAATAGGGCCACCTAACCAGCATCTTATTGCTTACTCAACTTACAGGCAAAGAATCATCATTCCCACCCAGGAAAAGCTGCACATACACAGGTAAGAACAACGCCCCTTTACTGAATTCTCAGATAAAAACGTCAGACTAACAACAATGGTAGAACATTGAGAAACATTCTGAAAGATACATACGGTCTATCAATTGGTTCATCAGGCGATCTGGAATTAAAAGTGAGGACAGAAAATTAGACCAAACATGTCAAAATGAGTTTTAGAGAAAGAAAAACCACAATCCATGGCATTCCCAAGCCCCACCCTCACCCCTCAGGACCCCACTCTGTTGTCAGTTCCCAACCCCCACACAGACCCCCCAGCCTGCATAATATAAAGTCATTATAGTAATGACAGGTTTTAAGCATTTAAATCAGATAAAACCTCATGTTCTGATTATCACCTTAATGAACTAAATCATTTCTCTCCCGGTATTTCTAAGAACTCACCCCGTTTAATCCCAAACCAGGGATTCTGTTATGAACATCACACAGTAGGATCACTACTAATAAACCCACCTGTACAGTTCCTGATGCTCACACTCACCTCTTCTTCCTTTAACCCCTTTAATGAGCCACCTGTCCCACATGACCCCAGGATGTCTTGTGTACAGTTCCCTCCTCTACTCTCTGTCTCTATAATTTAACTTTTGACTAAGCATTAGAAAACAACATAACATAGACGCCTATCTTGAATCCTGACCTTGACACTCCTGGACTCACCTTACCCTTTTATACCTGAACATGGTCACCAATAATATTCACTGCTCAGCTGATGAAAAACCTTTGGTTGAGAGGCCCAGAGTGATCTATCATTATTGGTTAATCTATCTAAGATAGATGAACAGTTCACAGATGAACAAACGAAGCCAGGATGAAACTGATTTCACCAGAATAACTGAGCTAATAATTAAACCAAGATTTTTATGACACTATTTTTGAACCCATAAAGGTGAGGCAACTAATTTTTTGCATGTCCTTTCCTTTAGAATAAGTTATGTATTCTGAACAATGACCAATTGAGTGGTCACAGAGGGAAAGAGAAACTCAAGCCACTCCCTTGCTATGAAGCAGTGACAAAGTTGGGAAGTGAGATGTGGTCAAGATTTTTAAAACAGGGCTGGCTGGTCAGCTCAGCTGGTTAGAGTGCGATGTTATAACACCAAGGTCAAGGTCTCAGATCCTCATATTGGCCAGCCCGCTCCTCCACCCCACACCCCCAAAAATGTTTAAAACTAACACACACTGTGGATTTTCCCCTTTTGGTTGTCCCGAGATGTCATAGCTCCCCTGGACTAAGAGCCCACTGAAAACACACTCCTTCTCTTCCCAATACAGGGTAAACACACTCCTCTTCCCATTTGGGGGACACAGAGGGAGGGAGTCAAAGGCAGAGGCAACCTAACCTAAAAACTGTCCATTGCAACTACTCAGGATGCCTCTGTGCCCCTTGGGATGTCTATTTTCAGTTTACAGTTGCAGCCTCACTTCTGTGTGTCTATGGTGGGTTACAGCACAGGAAGGCAGCCAAGGGACCCCTGATGGGTGATGCTGGCATCAACCAGCTGGTGGAAGAAAGTGACTGTTCCTACAGAGCAGGGTGGGCGGGTACAGAACATCCTTTGGCAGGAGATGGTACCTTTTGAGTCATCAGGAATGACTATGGGGGGGCTGATATCTGGAAGTTCCTCCTCTCCTGGCTGTAACCCCCTGGCGCGGAGATGACTGATATCAAGTAGGTCTGGCATATCAATGGAAACATCTGCAAAATGAGAGAGATGATATATTCACAGGATTCTCAAAAAACCCATAATCACCTTATTATAAAACCAGCAGGACTACTAACTACATGCATGTGTCTAGGCAGAGCTAAGGTTGCTTTTCAATTCCCGGAATAGATCACTGGACCAGCTGACTCACTGAGACTAATTAGATGTTAATGGAGAACCTGGAGAAAGTACTAAGGGTGTTCAGGATTTCACAGTGAACAAGAACAAATTGGTTAAGCCAGAGGTCACAAACTGGCAGTGCAAAGACCATTTATGGCCCAGGCACTTTCTGTTTGATGTTTTAAAAATGTTGGCAACAAATTCCAATTTCTAAATCAGAATATTTAATTTAAAAATCCAGATTTCCAGCTTATTTTGAAAAATATAAAACTGTAGCATATTCTCCTATGGTTACAACTGTCTGGAGCTGATCTCCAGCTTCTGCTCTAGACAATGGTCTCTCGACCCCACAGCTTCCCATAGCCCCCATGACCCTGAGCATCATATTTGTGCTATTCTGATTCTTATGGTAAAGGAATGTTTTTCTAATCCATATCTTTATCCAAAGTGGGAATACCCAAGCAGGACCAAGATAGCTAACTACGTGTTTCTTATACACAGCCCACTTTTTTCATTGAGATTATACACTGTCCTTGTTAGACACTTGAATTTGCAATCCCTAGTTTATGGTTTTTCTCAGATCATGATGGATACTGTGATTATTCTAAGATAATAAATAAAGAATGAAGTTTTAAAGAAATTAATTGAATCTTAAGTATATTAGTCTTTGGGAAACATTTTTTTTTAACTTCTTGGCTCAGTTGTTATTGTATTGACTTGCTCAGACACAAAATGTACCAGTCTAATAGCCTGTCAAGATTTAGAATCACACAAATTCAGATAACATAATAATGAAAAACGGATTCAAATGCTGGTGCAGAATATGTCTTCTGGGATAGCAAACAGAACATGAAAGTACTGTCGCCAAAACCAGTTCTGATGACAGGTACAAAAATCCTACTTTATGATAGCCACTCAAGGAAAAAAGCTTAGTTCAAAACATTTTTTTAATTTCCGAGGGTAGCAAAACCAAGCATAAAGTCTGATCAACGAAGTCAATACAATTGTTCTGCAAGAGAAAAATTCATGTTCTTAAGGCTTCGGGGCTCCTTTAAATTCAGCAAGTCAAGGAAATCTGATTCAAATTTATGTTCCTGTATAGGAATTCCAAAGACAAAGAAAAATAAGAAAACTGTTTCCAAAGCAACTCAGAGCCTTTAGAACAAGTCAGTTTTCTCTCTCAGGTACTTTCCAGGACCATGGAAAGAAAGTTGAGTGATAGCATCATGCCCTCTGCCCTGCCCCTTGCTCACAAAACTATTCCCCCAGGGAAAACCAGGATCTTCTGCAGGATCAGGAACAGTCCAGCCCAACTTCACATGGCAAAGCAGTGCTGTGCAACTGTTAGTGCTGGAGGTTTCTGGGAGCTCACTCCAGCCAATTTTACATCCTGTTTACCTATCCCCTTCAGAAAAGAGCTTCATCAACCAGTGTAACACTTGCATTGTTGTTGTTGTTTTCCTTAGGTATTCAAAAACATAAAAAGTTTAAAAGACTGGCAAATAGCCCGAGGTGCTGGCTTGAGAAACCACAAAGGGTAAAACTATACATCCTTCCATGCCACTGAGGACAGCCTAATAACACCCTTCATATTAGATTACAATGGTGGAGAAAATGTTTCATGCACTGTCTGGAAAATTAACTTCTAACAATGGTCAAGGGCCTTTAACGTTAGCAAGACGAAAGCCCAGTTAAGCCAAAATCACATCCCTTTTTTTGACTCTTTAATGCAAATGACTATTTCTGTTTTATTATTAATAAAATTTGTATGATTTGAGTGAATGTCATCAGCCACACCTGCCTGCCTCAGAGGCAGAGGAGCGATGCTAACAATGTGCTCATATCTCTGACCACTTGCTACTCAAAGTGTGGTCTTTGGACAGCAGCCTCAGCACCACCTGGGAGCTTGTCAGAAGCACAGAATCTCAGGCCGGCTCAGACCTGCTGAATCAGCATCTGCATTTTACCAAGATCCCAGGTAATTTGTATGCACAGTAAAGTTCGGGAAGCACTGTTTACTTAATAAATTGAGGATTCTGTTTTCACTCTTAGAATCCGGTCATTCCAGAACTCATTACTGGAAGGGTGCGTTAGAACATTGTAATTTTTCCTGTCAGTGCTTATCATAAACTCTGATTCAAAAGAGAAAGGTGGGAATAATGAAAAAAAGGATAAAGTGGAACCATTTGTGGCAGCCAACTACATGGGCTCTTTCACGTGCCATGTTTTTGTTTGTTTTTTTTTTTAACTAACTCGATGTTTTAAGCAAAAGCATGCAAAAGATACCTACCAAATTTTTTGGGAACCCAGTCAAGACCAAAAGTGAACTTCTTTATCTGCACTACCAAGTATTCAGGGAATGAAGCAAAGCGAGATGTTCTGGGAAACACAAGGGGATTATGTCAATGAGACAAGGCAATAAGAATTGTGAATACAGTTCACGAAACATCATAAGCTTTGTCTGTGGCACACCCTGCAGTTCCAATGGCCGGACTGAAGAGGAGGAACACACAGACTCAGACAGGTAGGTGTCCACTCACACACTCACTCTTGCCCACTTGTCCTGGCCTCTTCACGAGAAGAAAAGGTTTCATGTAGGACAGTGTTGTCCCTTCCGTTTCGAAATTATTAGTTTTGCTTTGCTGTGGCACTTTGTATTTCTGAAAGTGCTTTTCAACCATTTGCTTTTCTAAAATCCTTACTGGAATTTAGTATACATATATTGTTGGTGTCTATGGGCATGCATACATTATGTGTCTGTATGTGAGGTTTGAAAGAGCTCCCCAAGTGATCCTGGAACACCCCCACACAGAATCACTATCTTACAGCACAGAGATGGCATAAGAAGGGTTTACTGGAACTTGGTTGAGGTTGACTATTACAAATGCCAGGTCCTCATTAAAATACCACTGCAGCTAAATCCAGGGTCACATGGATCCTAGGAATAGACATATTATGGAGTAAATATCTAAAATATCTAAATCTGGGCCTTAAATATTAAAATTAATACATACGGGTAATATCTCCAGTTCTCTTCAAACTTTGGGAATGGCTGGATTACCTGGACTTGGGTGTGAAAATTTTATGCATATACTATTCAGCTTGTACACCAAATTGATGCTCCAGCTCCAGCTAATTCACTCCACATTTATGATCTTGTTTTTAACATCTATTTCTATTTGATTGTCAATGTGGGTGTGGTAGGTATGTATCAAAAAGAAAATACAGACGGGTACCACAAGTACCTTTTAAAATAAGGGATTCTGGAACACCCTCCCCCAGACCCCACTTTTCAGATCCAAGTCACAGTCTTCTTACTTGAAATGCACCTTCCCAGAATTCAGAAAACAAATGCCAATGCACTGCTGCCCCCTAGTGTACAAGAGAAGCTGTAGTACGGCGCCAGAGCACTGGATTTAAAAAAAAAGAATCTGAAGACGTGGATTTGGGTCTTGGATATGCTACTTCATTCACTTCAAATCTGGGCAAACCACTGGCCCTCCCTGAGGTTCCATTTTCATGTCTGCAAAATGGATTTACTAATCATATTTACCTGCCAGGGCTATGTAATGTTTATGAAATGATATGAAACCGCTTGGCACACTAGAAGTACTGTATATACCTAAGGGAATCGGCATGATTATTTCGTCATGAAAGAGCTAAAATCCATGAGGCCTGAACTGAACAGGTCTGTCACTGACCCGTATTCTACCCAAGGCAAGTTATTTAACCTCTCTGTATCCAAAATTCTCCATCACAAGGTTGGTAGAAGGGTTCAGGCAACAACATAAAGGAGCTATTAAGAAAACAGAAAATTATCAACCTAACAAAATGATCTATTAATATCCTGGCTCACTCTCCAGAAATTATACATTATCTTGAATTAGGTTTCCTATCTTGTGAGAAGCAGTAATAAACAGCATTCTTATTTAAATGTAGCCAACTCCTCAGTCTCACCCAAAACCATAATACCTCCATCCAGTATTATGATATTTTCAACTAATATAAAAATGCTACCTTTCTGACCTTTCTTCTTACCACATTAACTTAAAATCCAGGAAATATATAACAAAAAAATAAACCCAAAGTCCCAGTAAATCCATAATTTTCAAAATGTGCTTGGGGAGCCCTGAGCCTTTTTCCATGGTCGGTATCCAGGTGAGGTATCAGCTTGTGATACCATGGTGGGGTAGTGGAGGAACTCCAGGTTGGAGTAGGAGGTAATTTAACACATCACTTTGTTATGGGTAACTACCAACTCAAGAGTAAGAAAAAACAAGGTTAGATGGTGCTCACTTTATATCTGCCCTGTCAGGTAAACATTCTTTATTCACCTTTGTAACCTTTACAGCATCTCAAATTTAATCGTACCTATAGTGACTGCTCAATATATATCTGCTCAAATCAATTTCAAAAGTAATACTTTGCATTCATTAATTGAAGTTTGGGGACATCATGTGTTAGTTAAATCCACAAAGTCATAAATTATGCTCTGTTTACTCTTTTATTCCTAATTCCTGGAGTTAAAGTTTTTCTTGGAAAGCTATACATTTTTAATAAAGACCATTAGAATGTAAATCATTCAAAAAGGTCTACGTGGATACACAGCAAATTTACTTCAAAGAATTGTTACAGGAATTAAATGAGTTACATATTTAAGTGCCTAAAATATGTCCTGACAACACTATTGTATTATCTGTGGACAACCTATTAACATTATTTAAAATATATCAATTGTTCACTAATTACAATTAAGGCAAAAATACTAGGAAGACTTTATTAAGAAAAAAATATAAACTCTACCTCTTCCTGAAATTATTGACTGTCTATTGGATTGAAAATCTGGCAATTAAAAAAAAAAAAACAATTTTACCGTTTCCACTAAACATGTCCAAAATATGATAATCAACCACAAATTATATAATCTGAGGAAAAAATAAGTAATGATAACAGTAATAACAATTGTATTCTGCATTTACTCTGCCAGGTGCTGTGCGAGTACTTTACAATGCTTATGTCACTTCATCCTTACCTCAACCCGATAAAGAAAGTACTGTCTCCATTTTGTGGATAAGGAAGCCAGGACGGTCAGGTCACCTGACCAAGGTCACATACCAGGAAGCTCTAGACTGGGCATTCAAACACTGCTCTTCTACATAGAGTCTGTGCTTTGGACCCCACACCATGCTTTTCTCTTCTTAAACGATAAAAGTTAATTAAAAAATTTCTTCCTACACCCTTAAACTGAGGGCTGCTCAAGGACAGGAATTAGACCTTGTCCAATTCATTGCCTAGAATATAATAGATAAGCAATAACATTTGCTGGGTGAATGAAATTTCCAAACACTAATACTCTTCCCAGACATGGCCCGTTCGGGATCATTTTAAGGGGAGGGTCTTTATGTCTGGTCAATACAGACCCAAAATCTACTAAGATCTTTAGTATACCTTTTGCCTCTTCCTGGCCTTTCAGGCTCTAAGTCTAACAAAAGAAAAGTTCAAAACTCCAAATTAACAAAATGTAGACTGAATCACAGCCTACGTAGCTAAAAATAAAAAATAAATAAATAATTTTAAAAAGATCTTTTAGGAATCCACTGAATTGGTTTTCATAAAACTAATATTCTAAACATGATAAACATAATAAGGAATATAAGGCTATATAAAGATATTTAAATAAGCAAGCATGATAAGGCACGTGGGGGTACTATATAACATAGGCATTAAGAGTGTAAACTTTGAACTCAATCAGACCTGAATGAATCCCACATCTGCCACTTACTGGCCAATTACTTCTTTTATTCCCTCATCTACAAAATGAGAGACTAATGGTACCTACCTCATACTACTAAGAGGATTAAACATTATAATTGATAGGAAGTGCCTAACACATGACTTGCAATAATAAATGTGCAATAAATGCAGATGCTTTACTATCTTTAACATTGTTTTTTTCTTCCCAATAAGGACCAGTTTTCAATGAATAACAATTGTGATATACCTAGTACTAATTCTTTTCATGTATATAAAAAGCTTATGCAAGAACATGTGTGTATGTAGAGAAAAAGGAAAGACACACTTAATATCTACTTTTAACAACTACAGAAAGCAGAAATCCCTCCTCCAGAATTCTAGTTATGTGAGCACTGCCTTCAACTAAGAGTTTGTAGCATCTGAGGAGAAATTCAGATCAGTAAGCACCACCCCTCCATTACAGATGGAAGAGAACACTGGATGGTGACTTTGCTCCAGGACAGAAGATAAGCTGGCAAATGGGCAAAGGAGAAGAATCCAGAACTCCTGACCACTAGCCAGGGCTCAGAGAATCCGTGGAAAGTTTGGGGCTCCCCGCTCCATTTCAAAGATGGGCTTTTCCAAGTGTTAAGAAGGTTCCTTCCTGGCAGGGCACATGCAGGGAGCAGCAAGTCCAGAGAGTGTGTCACACCCTACACTTCTGAAGTCACACCAGGCCACTCATCTGAAGAGCAGAAAGATGTGGACAAGGGACAGGCAAATGAAGAACACTCAGCTCCACAGCTCACACCTGCCGCTGGGAGTTTTCTAGGCTTCCAGGGCCATGATCACTTTCCACCTCACACACAGAATCAGACCCAAGAGAAAAAGTAAATGTTTGAGGAATCTTTAGCCCATTGTCAATGATTAAAGAAACTGTTTCCACCATTAATGCAGTGTATAGATTTCCAACTGCCCAAAGATTGCCCAAGTTGCAATGAAGTGTATTTCACATTTAACAGGCCAATTCATCAGCTGTTATCTGCAAGGACACAAATACACAGGCACATGCACACACATACACACACACGCAACACACACAAATACATACACACCACAACTGAGCAGTTCTAGGATGAAAACTTACCCAACAATGGACAACTAAAACTGAATGAACTACTATTAATCCCCATTTGGACATGGAGCTGTTTCTAAATTGTTTTTTTAAATTTGGCTTTCAGTTTTTGCTTTCCCATTTTTAACATATGATGTCTATAATCAGAAACAAATGATAAAAATAGCCACAGTAGCTCTTTCATCTTTTACTCTCCTTTACATCGACTGAGAGCTCAATCTCAGCCTGGAAGAAAAATGGCCAAAAAATATCTAAAAGTAGCAAAATTCCCAGAGCCAAACTTTAAGATTTCCCCTTATTTTATGCCACTATAAGCACTGCTTCCAATTAAATACAGCAATATAAAAATGTGTCGGCAAGGACTTGGCCGTATCAAATCAAATAAGGTGTCAAAGGGAGGAAAAAAATTTTATGTACCTGACAACAAGCCTCACAATGTAAAAACAGGGCATTTCCTGACTAAATCCTGACAGCTCATTTGAACAATGCTCAGGAGCACTTACGTCCACTTTGAGATCTCCCAGACTCCTAGTCTCCAAGCAGGAACACAGTCAACCAAGTTCTAAACCAGATCTTTAATTATGGAATTAAAATATACAACAATGGAGTTTAAATATTGAGGCCTGCCATAAGTATTTTCATAATTTCTTCAATTGTTGTAAATTTATTCATTAATAATATCACTCTTGCCATTGGGGGTGAGAGGTATTTCTTGGCTGTACCCTCTCAGGAAAAAAAGAAAGAAATGAAAAGAAAAAAAGGCAAATTCCTAATAAAGGATAAACCACAACCTTGCATTTTAAAAAAAGACATCCCCTCCCTAGCATATAACATAAATTAAAAAGTTGTTTTATTGAACAGGTCTCACACAAGTGAAGCCTGTGACAATTATGGTGTGTAAATCATAGTTCTGTCTCATCACACATGAACAAGCATGCATAGACTCATATAGTACCCAGCCCCCTCTCCCCAACCCTGTTCCCACCTCTCACAACCCCTCCTCACCCCGCTACCACCACATACACTCACTTCACACCCGCAGACTTTGCTTGCAGGGCGCTGCTCCAGAAATCAGCAACATTTTCTGGTTCAGAAAAGGCCTGAAGGCAGGCACTAAATGGTATCTTGGCACGCACCAGCTCGGGGAGGGGTCTTCTGTTTGCTTCTGCTTCCCTTCTCATTAACTCATAGGCGATCAGCTCATCTGAGGAAAAGAGCAAATGAATGACCCTGCAGTCACTCTTAGCTTCTTGAAATGGAAAACACCCTCTTTAGGCAATCTTCCCCGAAGGCCTCTGGGCTAGGTCAGGGCTGCTTGCTGGTTCCCTTCTCAGAGCCGGAGGATAAGCCCGCTGAGAGGTTGTCCTCAGGGCTGTCTTTAGAGCAGCACTGACAGGCTGCAGCAAGACATTCACAATTTTTTTTTTTTTTTTTGCTGTTCTTCCATTGAGGCTGACAAGAGGGAACTGAGCTTGGTTCAGGCCACGTGTGTGACATCATGGTGCATGACGTTGGTATTTCATTTGTCCAGAGGTCAAGCCTGGGTTTACCCAAATGCCATCCTCCAAAAACAAAGCCTTCACACCAGAGAATTTTATAGCTGAAAGAGATCCAAGGGCTCATCTCTTCCCAAACCCTTCACTACCTTGATAAAGAAATTGAAGGCCGGCCCGGTGGCGCACTGGATAAGTGCGCCGCTTGGGAGGCGCGGCGGTGCTCCCGCCCGAGGGTTCGGATCCCACATACAGACCGGTTCCTGCTCACTGGCTGAGCGAGGCGTGGGAGCAACACCGAGGGTTGCGATCCCGTTGCCGGTCCCCGGTCCGGTACGGGGGCAACACTGAGGGTTGCGATCCGTTGCCGGACACGGAAAAAGACAAAAAAAAAAAAAAAAGAAATTGAAGACCAAGGTCAAAACCAGTCAATCACTGACAAAGCTGGACTTAAAACCCTGACCAGCACTCCCTCTACTACCCTACAGATGAGGCCAGAAAGGAGAGTTAAATTGAGTCAAGAGATCAAATTCTGCCGATGATCAGACACATACACACACAAAAATAGTAACAAAAACATTCCTGTTAACTTTAAGCTGCCCTAAAATAAAATGACCCCTGAGGAGGACTAGAGCCCATATTACATGTTTTCTGATTTGGTTCCACCAGCATCTGTGGTTAGAGGTGGCAGGTCCCAGAGGTGGCATGGACCAATGAGAAGAATGAATATGGGACTGCAGTCACCCACCATCGCACATCCCATGATGCTAACCAGCACCGCCAAGACAACTTCTTGTGGAGGCTACCCAACACCTCAGATATCAGAGCAACCAACGTAGCAGGCTTCTCTACACCACCCCTACTCAAATGATTAAAAACGGAGAGAAAAAGAAGTGTGTGCACCATGAACCTCCCAAGAATCAGATCTGCTCCTGGAAACTAACCTGCAGTCAAAATTTTGTATCAATGTTAAATGGCCTTTCTGGCCAATTATTTTGTGTTACGCACCAACCCCCCATCACTCCTGATTTATCAGTTTTTAAGCACACTTATGCACAAATGTGTTTTCCTAAACATATCTGAATATGCTGTTAAAATTCATTCCCCAGTCCACAATCAGTTTGTGATGTGCTTATATGGAGGATGCTAACATTATTCCTAGTAATCAATTTCCCAAAACCAAATTATAAATCTCCCTTCTGAAAAAAATAGTTGCCACTCATAAATTATAAACAGTGAGTGAGAGAAGATGATAGAACTAAGCAGAACATGTAAGTCGGTATCCCTGAGGTAGGCAAGAGAAAGCAATTAAGCCTAGTTCTAAAAAGGAAACAAACCACAGACCCCTTCCCCCTCATTTATACCTTTTCTGTAATGGATAAGAATTTTAAATTAGTCAAATGCTACATGAGCTTACAGAATATGGAAATCATTTCATCTTAAAATCATCATAATCATCACTTTCCAACTAGCATAATAAATTGACCAATCTCAAAAGAAAGAGGAAAAAAGGCCACCCAGGGAGTTGATGAACTTTACAAAAACGACCAGTTCATAGAAGATGAGCAATCCAGCTGCTATTTTGCCTTTTTCTACTGCTAAGATTTTAATTCTCTTCTAGTGGGCATCGCTCCTACAAAGAGCCCTGCCACATTTGCCTCCCATGACAGGCATCTTGAATACTTGGATGCCAAAGCTGGATTATTTCAAGAGACCTCTACTTGAATGTCTAACATCAAAAAATGCAGTTTGATCACTTCCCGCAGACTTTACAGCACAACTTATGGACGATGAGGTTAAAGAATCTTCTACATATATCATTAGCAATCATTTCCCCCAAAATTACACTGACTCCAAACCAACTTCGGCCAAATTTATAGGCAGAGAAGTAGGTTCCATCCATAACACCTCCATAAAACCTGGGATACACTTGATTCTTCTCCAGAGAAAGTCACATGGGGACTAAGGAAAAGATGAAAAGAGCTGTGTAAACCAGACACCATCTCAGCTGGGTCTACTCCTGACCCAACCTTTCAGTGACTGAGGGTGTTCCCACAAGAGGACACGCATTGCTCATTTCCCACTCTGGAACCATTACCCTTGTTGGCTGCCGCCTCCATGGCCACAGGCAACTGCATCAGGTAATCCACCCTCTCCGTGTAGCGGACCTTTCGGGTCTGGCAGCACTGAATACGTTCTTCCACCAAAAACCGGAAAACATCACTGGGGTTTTCTGAGCCGATGCGGTTCCTCTGAAGGGTGAATGATATCAGGTTAGTAAATTGATGAATATTAAGCATGAATAAAAATTAGCACAACATCAACTACAATAGCTGGTATAAAAACTGGGCTTTACTAAACATTTCCTCTGGGCATGCCAGTTCGCCAGAGTACTTTATTAGCAAAACACTGGAATTTATCTAAAGTCCAAAAATGCAGGATTGGTTGAATAAATTACAGTTCATCATGTGAATTAATATTTTACAGCCTTTAAAAATCATGGGAGAGGGACTGACATAGATGGAATTAGAAAGGAGGAAAGGGAGCCAAACAAAAGAAAAAAGGGAAAAACAAAAAACTGCCCTGGAAAAATTGAAGCATGTACAATACTTCATGTATGATGAACATACAGATGCACTTGTGTAAGTTATATACAAATCAAAAAGAAATCACACTTATATTAAAATATGTAACAATGTGGCAAAATGTTCACGACAGGTTAAGTGAAAACACTGCTTCCAAAAGAGCACGTAGAGAATTAATATATGACCCAGGAAGTGAATGGGGGGTCAGACGCCAAAATGTTAACACTGGTTGTTTGTAGGGGCTGGTATTGTGGCGAGTTTTGATTTCCTCCTTTGTATTTTCTATATTTTCCACAAACAACACTTTTGTAATCAGAAAAAAATATATATTGCTTTTTAAGGGGGTCAGGGGAAGCCTTACTCAGGAATTCTCAGTGACTTTCAGAAATCACAGAGATTAACATGATTCGACTCTGCAAAGCGTGATAGTCTCCAAGTGATGGCAGGAGGACACCAAATATCACATAGTGCTCTCAAGGAGCTTGTCACAGAGACCAAAAATAATGGTGAAGGAAAGAATGGCCAAACACTCCTATAACACAAACAGACTGAAAGGAGCAGACAGAGCTGCAAGTGTCTGCAAAACAAGAGGAGGGGCCACATCGAGTGCGCTGGGCAGAGAAAGCCTCAGAGAAGTGACTCAGAAGCAGCCGCAACGATGAGGGGAGAAGGCAGGGGAGGCATCTGGCCGCGCCACAGGGGACTGCACGGAGCGCTGGGAACAATTCACATACCCCCTCTGAGTGGTTTTGAAGACTGACTTACCTCTACTAGATTCACCAGGTGCAAGAAAAATTCCTGGGCATCTTGTTGTCTATTGGAGGAGAATTCTGGGTGGCTCTTGCTTACAAAGGCCTTAAACATGCGTGGAGAGATCCCGTTCTGTTGAGACTAAAGTATAAAAATAAGACTGACTTGAATATTTTCATATACATTAACAGTCCTCAGTGACAAGCAGAGCAGGGATTACGATACAACCCATTTTACAGAGGAGAAAATTGAGGCCCAGAGAAGAATAATGACAAGAGCCAGCACTCACCAGATGTTTAATATGTACCAGGCCCTGCTCTACAGACCTTACATGGGAACAAGATGAGACCCTTCCTGTTGACTCGTGATAAATACCCCACTTTCTAAAGCCAGGCTCTAGGCCCATCCTCACAGGCCTTGCTACCAGGTGGCCGCACTGACCCATCACAGCCCATAAGTTAAAAGAGAGGAGAGCTCAGCAGCACCTGCACCACTCCCACCCCCTCCCCATGAGGGTGTATGAGAGAACTCCTCGTAAGGATGGGAGCATGCACAAGAGAAGGAAATGGTATTGCACAGCCCAGCAAGCCACTGCACAGCTGCTCCAGCTCCTGAGCCCACCCTGCACTGGTTCTGGACCAGGAGCTTGCAGAGGCTTGACCCTCACATGGAAAAGCAGGATGCCGGCTGCAGCTGCCAGGATGACAGCGTGGAAGAGCAGGCAGAGGGGGTGACTCTGGCAGGTCAAGGATGTTGGGTTTCCCTCGGGGCCAAAAGAATAGTTCAGAAGGCAACCTGGCTCCCCCAGGGAGGACCCCGTATAAGATGATGGGAGGCCGGGGAGCCACAGAGGTCAGTTGGACGGGGCATCAGAAAAAGGTCCTTGTAAGGTCCTTGAGGGCAGAGGGACAGGTGGGAGGAAGCAACTCTAAAGCACCACCAATGTGCCCCCACAAAAAGCTAGCCATGACAAAAGAACGTGGCAGCCACAAGGCAGCCAAACAGCACTAGCTAAGCGAACAGCCTCTGCCCATTTGTTCTCTAGTCTCCCAACTCCCTTGACCCTCTGCTCTGGAGGAGCCAGAAGAGGGTGGAAAGAGGCACAGAAGTGGAACAAGGACAAAAAAAAAAAAAAAAACCCAGAGGATGCTAATGCTCACCCTTCTGCACTGCTGTTTCCGCAGACTCCTGAGTTTGGTACAAGAGAGAGGCTTTAAACTGGCTTTGATGTGAACTGGACTTGTTAATACTGGTAATCTGCTGGAAATCTAGGAGCCCTGTCTGAGATGCTCTAAAGAGGCAGGGCAGGAAGGTGACGGAGGGGGCCTCCTGAAAAAAATGTTTCCTGAGCCTTCCCTCCAAGTTCAGCCCTTCTATCAATGGTGATACCTGTTACCTCACTGATATTCACAATAACCCCAGCAGGTGTGTTCTACCTTTATCCCCATTTATGGACACTGAGTCTGGCAGAGAAGTGCCAGATAGGTCTTTCAACTCTAAGTGGCCTCAATGACCAGACTGTCATGCAGCTAACAGAGCAGAGCCAGAATGGAGTCCAGGTTCAGCTCTGACTCCAGGTCCACACTGTTTGCAGCCAAAACAAAGATGCGGGTCCATAAGTGAAACAACCCTCACCGTGTCAGTCAAGTCAAAGAATTAATTCGTGTCCTCTCTGCAAATGCTGTGGCTACCACTCACCTGCTTTTTTATAAACCCTCCACTTGCTCAGTTCCCAGGCCACATTCCTCTCCTCTGAAGTCCAGAGAATCTGCTACATGCGCCATCATTTGGCACACAGCACAAAATGCCTACTACTTTCTTTAATTTTCAGCCACAGCCTGACTGTAGTCCCCAGCAGGATGTGGCCATGTCTCATGCCTCTCTGCATTCTCATGGTCATCCTGGTCAGTGTCTAAGGTCTGGAGATCATGACAGGTTTGTGGTATCTTATAGTCAGATGCAACAGGAGATGAGAAAACTCCTTTACCCTTCTCCCCATGGCCAAGGGGCAGCTCTGTATAAAGCATCTCTCCAACACACATGATCTAAGCAATGTTTTCTAATAAAAACCTGATGAATTTTCCTGTCTTGCTGAAAACATATCTGATCTAGTCTTCTAGTATTTACTGACCACCTACTTCATGCAGAACATTGTTAGGGATTCTGCCCTCCTGAAATCTGCAGACAATAGAGAAGATCAGAGATATTTACATCTATCTATAACAAATATTAGAGAACACTATGGAGGACCTGAAATAGTGCTAACAGCTCTTAGAAGAATTCCCCAAGTGGCAGCATTTGGGCATCTGGGGACTCAGAACCTTATATAAATGACCAGCTTACACACATATATGGCTTCAGATGTGCTTCCAATGCTAGGTAAAGACCAATTTATACATGACAATTAATTTTACTCCCTGTATATATACCTCCTGCAAACTAAGTAAAAGTTGTAACCTTCTTCACTCTCAATGCTCATGTATACCTACACAGTACCAGTGGACGCAAACATGCGATAATACCTTATCTTTGTATAATGGCTAACATTCATGCATTCATTCAACAGATACCTATTTAGTGCTATAAAATGTCAGACACTATTCTAGTGCTTGGATGAATACGTACTAGGTGCCAGTTCTTAACACTTCATGCATGTATTTTGCTTAACTCATCCAACCCCATGAAGTGATGAGACTGGGAAAATGAGATGTGTTAAGTAATAGGTCCAATTACTGCCCCCTCTCTGTCCCCTCTCTAGTGTCCTAATGCTGTTCACATGTGCCTAGAGCTCATCTCTGATGTCCTTGAGTCCATCCTACTAGTCGCTAAGAAAGGAAAACAATATATCTCGGAGTCTGGATAAGCCTTCCTCAAACCCACACACCTCTGGGGCCAGTATCGCAAGCCAGTCCATCAATTATTTCTCCACTCTCAACTGTATGGTGGCACCAGCTGGAATAAATCTTTTCTCATTTGTGCATTTCCGTTTAAGCATTCACATAAGCTTGTATTCACTATCACTTGCTGTTGATAGTGTTATTTCTCACAAGCTGTGATTCGAGCTTGGTGTGGCTGCCAGTCCCCAACACAGACCATATCAAGCAGCTGCTTTGGAAAGTTCAACAAGTCAGTAAATTCTGAAGAGCTGGCTGCTGCTCTGTGCCACCATGTGGCTGTATAACCAGAAGGAGAACTCTCAATACAGACCACGGTGACAAACACCAGAAACTCAGCTCCACGCTTGGACTGTGCCCCAGTCTCATTCATTTCCCTCCTACCCCTACATCCCCCTTCATTTCTTTGCTTTCCTTCACCTGACCTTTCCTAATCTGTTGCTCAGCAGTCAAGTTATTGCTAGAGAATTGTTGATCATCTTGAAGTTATTTGAAAAAGTTTCCTAACCAGAGAGATGCTACCTCTCCTCTTCACGTCACAGTGCAGACCGGCTCCTGGGTTTCACAACTGGGTTTGAACATTTTAGCTCAAACTCAGCTACTCTACATTTAATGCCTTGACCATTAGCTGGCCCCATCTGCGTACACCCATGCCCCATACCCATCTCTGATTTCAAAGCGGAGGTTTTACTAATTCCCATGCTCAACTATAGCTATGTTCACTTAACATTCAGATATGAAAAAGTCAGGCTCTAAAAAAGTTGATCCTGGGCCGGCCCGGTGGCACACTGCTATAGTGCGCCGCTTGGGAAGCGCGGCGGCGCTCCCGCCCAAGGGTTCGGATCCCACATACAGACCGGTTCCCGCTCACTGGCTGAGCGAGGCATGGGAGCAACGCCGAGGGTTGCGATCCCGTTGCCAGTCCCGGTCCGGTACGGGGGCAACACTGAGGGTTGCAATCCATTGCTGGACACGGAAAAAGACAAAAAATAATAATAATAAAAAATAAAAAAAATTAAAAAGTTGATCCTGAATCTAATCAAGCCTCTAGATCTTACTACCAGCTTCTACGAAACACAGATTGAACAATACCTCAAGGACCACACTTCAGAGCAATCTTAGGACAAGTGACCCAGCCCTTCAATAGAGCAATAGCTTGCAGAAAAAAAGGAAGGGGACTTTAGAAAGATATCTTTGATAATGGAGGAAAAAGTCTGAATACAGACTGGGCATTAGATGATACCAAGGAGTGGTTATTAATTTTGCTGATGTGCTTTTAACACTTTAAACAACTTTTAACGTGATATTTATGTTAAAAGAAAAAAGAAGATATTATAGTTGCAGATAAATACTAAATATAAATAGATGAAAAGGAGGATGTTTGGATTTTGTGTTAAAATACTGCAGGTAAGGGAAAGGACAGGAAGGAAAGGAAAAAGGGAAAAGAGGAGGAGCAGGGGAAGAGCTGAGTTTGGAGGATTCACAGAACCAGATTGGTTGAATGATGATTACTGAAGCTGCTCAACAGGTACGTGGAGATTCATTATACTTTGCTGTCTACTTTTCTGTATATTTGAAAACTTAAATAATTTTTGTTTTTAAAAAGGCCAACCTTTTGGGGCCGGCCCGGTGGCACACTGTGCTAGTGCGCCGCTTGGGAAGCGCGGCGGCGCTCCCGTCGAGGGTTCGGATCCCACATACAGACCAGTTCCCGCTCACTGGCTGAGCGAGGTGCGGGGGCAACACCGAGGGTTGCGATCCCGTTGCCGGTCCCGGTCCGGTACGGGGGCGACACTGAGGGTTGCGAACCATTGCCGGACACGGAAAAAGACAAAAAAAAAAAAAGAAAAGAAAAAAAAGGCCAACCTTTTGACAAGGCAGCTCCTTAAAAGAAATCAAAAAGTCAAAATAAGAACCAAAGAATTGAGTTGAAGAAAGCACGTTTCCCATTTGGCGATGAGTCAAGGAATCACCTGAGTGTCCCTCAATGGGCCTAACACCTAAGATGAGAGATAAGAGGGAGAGACCAAAATTGACCAAGAGTCAGACATGCCTTCAGGGAGCACATGTTCTCACCTGTGAGCAGGTTCTTGGACACCTGAAACAATGGCTAGTCCTAACCACTAACTTTATAATGGGGAGGACGGGTAGTCTCCAAAATAGCAACCACCTAAGGAATCTGTCATATTAATAGGATACTGTACTTACTTTCTCTATCAGCAATTGCAAAATAGATCAGCTAAAATT